TTTTTTTTTTTTTTTTTTTTTGTTTCGGAAAATTAATTTTTCGGTTATATTTTCTTCTGGTCTTTGTAGCAGGGGTCAGGAGCTAAAAAGCGATGTTTATTGCGTTAATTCCGTTACCTTTCGAAGGTTTTCGTTTATAAAAACTGCTCTTTTTTTTCTTTTTTATTTACTGAATTACATACAAGTCAGTTACAGGAAAGCTTTTCTCGTATTGCCGAAGAATCGAATCGAATTGCAGATAGTATTTTGAAGTCTTTGTCGAGCCACGTGACGAAAGATAAGGCTCGGACAACTATTCGGGAACAGTTGAATGTAAATCTTCGTCAAAAAATAGAAACAGCTGTCTTTCAGGTTTGTTGCTATGTGGTGCTTTTCGTTGATTTTATCATTAAAGATTTTTGATTTATTATAACAAAAGAACACATTTTAGCATTTGCTTTCTTTGGTCATATTCAGGTTATGGGGACCGATGATAACATCCGACTCATCTTAGACCAAGTAGCAATTCCAATTTCTTCGTATTTAGGCTTAGATGAAGAGAACGAACCAAAAGTTGAAGAAGGAGAGTTGAAAAATGAAAATCATCAGGTAGAATATTTGAATTTTTTTCTTGTTGTTTTGTTTACTTTCTTCGTACCTGTTTGTTTTATGAAGAATCTTCAACTAGTAGTATCCTGGAAAATCCTGTTAACTCTTAGTGGTTGGATGAGGGACTGTTACTGATTTGTTTCAGTCCTCTTTTTCTTTCTTTTTCTTAAAATTACGATTTTCGAAGGTCCTCAAAAATGTGTTTGAGAACGTATTATGTTAAAAAGAGACGGTGAGTATTGTATCTCTAGACTTTAGACCCTTTTTTTTTAGGTCTGTGACATGGAGATTGAATCGGATTCGGAAAAGGGGGATGTAAACCAAGAAGCAATGCATAATAAAAAGAGCATCCAGGATGGATGTCACGTAATTTTTGAGGAACCTTGCTCTTCTAATCCAAGTATCTAACTCTGCTTTACAGCTTTCACATTTGCATTTTCCGCTTTCGTGGTCTTTGTATTTTTAATTTGTTAGAAATAATTAATATTCAACTTATATACCAAATTAGTAAAATGTTGTTTATCTAATCCTGTTGTTAAGCTCTGTAAGGTGGGACACGTTTAGATTTTGTGACAGCCGGTTTATATTTTTTTATTACTTTTCTATGTATTCATTAATTTAGAATGAGAGTTTAATATGAATTTTAGAAGTTACGGAAACTGAGGAGGCACCAGTTTTTGCTGATTCTCAAAATGAAACCCTTTTCAACTCGAACCATGAACTGGAAGATCCCTCATCTAAAAACGCAATAGTGATAGGCGAAGTGAGGTCCAAGAATAATAAGTCATCTGATTCCTGTGTGGATCAAGTGGTTTGAGTTTTTCTGAATATTTTTTTTTTTAATATTTTTGGAACGAGCACTTTGAGTTGATCTGTTCTATCATATATATCACTTTTTTTAGACTTATACTCTTTTGAACAGTATTTATCTGCCAAGTCGAAGTCGGTTTTCTCAAGAGTTTCGACTATGTAGGTTTTGTTAACGATTGACTTCTAATTTTATTTAGAAAAGTACAATCACTACACCAAACTTGTGTGATGCGCCGAAAGAATTTTCTGAAGATAGGGCGCGGCGTCAAAGGAAGCCACGTCGAGACCCTGATTTTGCTTATTTCAATTAGAAAGATATTGGCTTTTGTATTTTTGGGTTCTAAGTTAAATCTTGGGTTGTTCATTTGAAATTGATATTTGAAGTCTCCCATATCTTTTCCCCTCTTCCATTGTTGAAACTAACTCATGTTGGTAGGCATGCGTTCATTGTCTGAACTCACTCCTTTTGGCGAGATTGAGTTTAATGTTTTGTAGGTGTTATTTACTGTTCTTTTATTATTTATCTTTTGGTAGTTTGTCTGATTTTTTGTCTGTGGAAAGATTGTTTAGGTGGTTTTCGTCTGCAGTCATTGGTTAATTTTCATTAATATTTGCTAACCGTCTTTGAAGTCCCAAAAATTGAAGAATAGTTTTCTTTTGTTGCTCAGATTGAAAATATTATAGAAAAGCGCTTGCTCATTTTATTACAACATATCTGACTTTTGTTACCTCTCTATGAAAGTTATGTTCATGATGAAACTGTTGTCTGTAGGCAGTGGTGGTTATACTTATTGATATTTTTTATAGCACCCGATGAAAACGTCTGTCTTTAGGACTTCTTCTTTTGAAGTCTATGATTTTTCTGATCTCAGCGGTTCTTGGTTTTTTACATTACGTTTGATGGCATTCTCAACATCAATTTTGCGAATCTGCTAAATAAAGAGTTTAATTGTGGCTACCGAAGTTCAGGAGTGCATATGAATGATTTATTGCTTGGGTTGGTGTTTGAGTTGCAGTTTCAGCCTGACAGTGAAGATATCTTCTAAAACTTCCTAAATGAGTTGTGTTTGTAAGTTCTACGTGCTGGATTACGTCTATGGCACAATTTGATTCTCGGCGGCTAAACAATTTTTCTGCAAGATATAGTTGTTTGATATGAATTTTATAGGATGCAGAAGGTCTACGTAGACGACGGTTGTTCATAGTTTGTAGGAGGCTTGAGGTTAGCGGGTAACTGGGAGTAGGTGGAGTGATCATTACAAAATATAAATTTATGGTCGTTAGTGACTTTATTTCTAGAAAATTAGTTGGCACTCTTCCGGTTCAAGCGACCTGTCTGCGGAAATTTTTTTGCAGAAGCATTTGTGCAACAGGTTTACTTACGATTAAAAAATATTCTACAATTTGAAAATTTAGAAGCTACTAATTTGTTTCCAAGTCCGAGGACAAATTCTAGTACATAACAACATTTAAAAAATGGAAGAAGAACGTTGTTTTGGTATGGCAAGTAATATTTGGTGTGGCTTATCTGTTTATTTGTAAAAAAAAGTTAGCCGGTAGTTGGAGTCGAAACCGTATGAAATTCCAAGAAATATCTAATTTTTTTGCTAAAGATAGCTCAGCTGTAGTTTTTTATCGTTTTCTTCTAAAACTTCAAAGAACATTACTGTAATGTCACTTCCGTTTTACTGTGGGAGGGAGTCGCAACGTTTCCAGTTTGCAAGCATTTTTTATACTCTTCAATTTCCTTCTCACCGCTCAATTTTTTAATTTTTTTTAATTCACAGCCTCTTCGTTTGCTTGAATTTATTATACTTTCTTTAAATTCTTGTACTTTCACTTTTTCTAACTCAACTATCTGTTCTCTAATGAATTTTCACTACATATGTAACGTTATATCCAGGTACCACTGTTTGTTATTATTAATTATAACTTAAAACAGTAATATCAAATTTTGAAGAAATTATTCTGAATATCCCATTAGTGATGCGAGTTTATTTTACTCTTCGTTTCTTGAAATGAACAGCTTTTTTCGTTTAATGCTGATATAACCTATAAATTATGACATTTCTGTGTTTCAATCTAAGCCAACACGTTTGTGCTATAAACGTTATGAACAACATTAATCACTTACCTGTTAGAAGTCTTAGAATGAATAAACCTTAGCACTTACATAACGCTTCAGTTTCAGCGACTACTTGTTGTTTATCAACTCATAAACAATGCAAATAAACCGATACTTTTGCTTTTCTTAATCACTCTGTTTAGAAAAAAAAATCTTTCATTTAGCAACCACCACTCTACATTAAATGACCAAACTGTAAATCTCATTTATTTCATAATATATCTTGATTGTAAGTTACAATGCATCGAAAAAAAAACACCTTGAATACTAAAACACTGTTTTTCCTCAACGCTTATGTGATTTCTTATCTTAACACAGCAGCAATCGATTCAAAACGTTGCGACGGTCATTTCAAACAAAAAGTTGCACAAAAATATATTAATATCTAATTTTTGGTTTTTTTTGAACAGTTCTGGATTTCAAACAATACAAACTATAATTCTTGATGACTTTTGAGTCAATAGGGAAAAAATGGAGGAAATTGTAAGGCTTATAGAAGTTAAAGTTTTTGATGTGTAGATGACTTTTCCAACCGTCGACAGTGTAGGTATATTGTTCTAAAAAATATACTGTAAACGGAGAGTCGATTTATTATTACCAACTCATATAAGATCATCACAACAAGAATGAACAGGTAAAGTTTGAGATTCTCCAACACATGACTAAAACAGGTAGTGGCATTTGCAGTAACAGGTAATATAAAATCAACTAAAGACGGTGAGTACAAGTAATACAGCAGAACTCTACGTTTCACATCGGAATAATTTAATAAGATATCGTTTTAATTCCTCACTTTCTTCTCCAATGTACACCCGACTCGGATCGCCAGTTAATCCTTCCAGGTACTCTCTAAAAAATTGTTAAAAAGATATTTTAGCTTTTTTAAATTTAAAAATAAAATTTTGTGGATTTAGTTCTAACGATACTTACGTGTTACTAAGATCGGATATGCTGACTGCATAAAAGTCAACTCCTGGTGATCGTCGTATCGTACTTGCCGGCACAGAAGCGTCATCTTGAGAAAATCTAAGAAAAAACCTTTTTTGAGTACAAAAGCCAGACTGGAAGAAAAGGTAAATTTCAGTAGTTTACCCATCGCTAAGCAGAACAACAATTGTTGGAACATAAGCACGGCGACTTTCCAGTAATTTAAGCACGACATTTAGGGCACGTCCGATAAAGGTTGTTCCTGCAGCTTATGGGTTTTTTGTTTTCTGTTTCATAAAAATAATATTATTTTGCAAAAGATGGCATCAAATCCAACACCTTACACAAAATATTTTGGAAGCTTACATAATCATATTCTGACAAAGCAGTTACCTGTGAAATGTCGGACACCAGCAAATGCTAGCATTAATTCCTCTTTTTCATCAAAAGCATCAAAACCCCACTCTGTTCTCTGGTGGTTCATACCAGCAAACTGCACCAGCGCGACCCTATGCTCGTGATCGGCCATCTGAAGTTCAAATTTTGAGCTTTTTTCTTTTTTAAGAGTTCCTGAATGCCGCAACTATATAGCTGTTCATTTTCACCAATTCAAGAACTGCTTGGTGGTGTAGTTGTTAAACTACTGCTTTTTTAGCAGATGGTAAGTTATATGAAGTAACTTATTAACCTGGGCTTCTTCAAGTATATCACCAACATACTGTTTTTGCTGGTCATATATAGACTTTACTGATCCTGAACTGTCAATCAGGAAAATCACATCGGCCGGACATGTACCTTAATTTTTTTTTTAATTTTTTTTCCTTCTTTTTAGGTTTGAGAACAAATATTAAGTGTGAAAGTGGAAAGTTGAAATGTTTTAATCGGTTTTCCTTCAAATCATCAAAACGTTTTGATGACCCTGCCATTCACTTTAGTCTGAGGATAGTAAATGAAGATTGAAGAAATAAAAGATCATTAATAAAAGCACTTGAGAATGGTAACTAAAAACTACCATCGGTTCTTCTTACGTATGGTTTTGGAGTAGTCGGTTTTCGTGTCGACTTTCGTCTCTCTTCATTTTCTTTCACAACTTTTTTAGCGTATGATTCATACGGTTCACTAGAACAAACTTTTCACATACTTTTTTATGTATTGAACATAATAATAGGTTATCGTTAGCGGTTCCGCAACAATGAATTCTGAAGTAAAACTTTAGTCGATTTTTTGAGTTGAGAATTAGTTACCTTTTTTCGTCATACTTATTTTATTCATTATTGTTTGCTTTTTGACTTTTTGAACAAGCTACATGCGAAACTCTTTTTGCTTGATCACCTTTCAAAACTTATTCTTGTAAGGTAATTAAATTGGAAACAGCAAAGAAAATGAAAACATTTTTTTTGCAGTGTTTTTTTTCTAAAATATGGCTTATGAAAGACGTATAAGCAGCATGTCTTACGATGGCGACTTTGTCACGGATGTTAAGTCGTATTGGAGTTGGGGCTTCTGAATTTTCGCTGTTGAACCTTGGGTTGCATGAATGGTGCCATTCTGCGTTTTCTGAGATAATTCAGGGTGAGATTCTGCAGCTGGCTTTTCAGAGGGCACTGAGGTAAGTTTTGATTTGTTTGGATCTGTTTCACCAATGACACTTTTAGCCTCGTCTGATTTACTTTTCTCTTCCACTTTACCGCTAAGTGATTCAGCTTTTTTTGCACCCTAAAACTATGGTGTACAGAAGTTCCAGTTTCAACGAAAAGATCCTTTAAAAACTGATGAAAAAAAGCCACAAAATTTAATTGATTTAAAAACAGATATTTCAAAAAAAATATACTTCCAAACTGACCTGTTTAACTTTTGATGGACGTTTGGTTTGTTTGTTTATCACCTCTTTCTCCACTGTTTTCTTCGTCGTTAATTCGCTACTGACTGAAGGCTAAAGAGCGCAGAAAATTTTAAACGGCTCATTGTTTAAGTTGAATAATACTAAATATTGCTACTCCTATTTTACCTGTAAAAAAGCGGAAACCTTGTCAAGACACTTTCTTTAACTGTTCTCTATAAAACAAACCTGGAGTTGAGCGGCGTCATCTGAGCCTTGAGTAGCATTGATAAATTGCCCGGTTTGAGCAGGTTCTTTTGTCACCACTGCTTCTGAGGTACCGTTGATATCAAAGGCTACAGTTTTATTTAATTCTGCTACTGAATCCTCTGTTGAAGAAACCAAAACTGTGTTGTTGTCGAGGGATTCGGCAGCACCAGCACTTGAATTGTCTTTGCCCGCCGTTAGTATTTCAATAACAGCATTGGATGCGTTTTCCAGCTCGGCCAAAGATACGGTTATATTTTCTACTTCAGAATTTTGCAGACTATTTGTAGTCGCGTTATAGAGGTCCGGTGACTCGTTCAGCGCAGTGGAAACGACTGGAATTTCCGTTGACACGGCGGGTGTAGAACAGTTTTGAGCCTTTTCTATGTCTCGCAGTAAGGACTCTTTAAGGTGTTCCAAATCTCGCGGTCTTGAAGTTGTCAAATTTTAGAGGGGTAGGCACACCATCAATTTTTGAAAAACTAACTGTATTCACAGTTCAAAGTTTTGTATGGTCAGTCGTTTAAGTGGTTAGGGTCTTTGAGAAAAGAGTTTTTAAATGGTTTTTACAGGTGTGCTGTGTTTTAATTCGTGTCAGGTAGTCTACACGTTTAGTACAGTTTTAATCGTTCAAAAAAAAGCTATTGCTGTTAAAATCTTTTAATGAAATTAATTTCATGCGTATATTGATTTTTTAAATTGACGTTACTTATACTGAGAAGAATTAACAGAATAAATGTTTAAACTTTTAAAAAAATTGTTCGACCTATGATACAAAAAACTTTGAGATTGCCAGGAAAGGAAAGTTTGATTTAACTAGATATTTTACCTTACGAAACAGTGTAGAAATTTGTAAAAATTGATCAGACGTAGATCAGTTACACATTGTTAAAAAACCATTTTTTAAATGTACATGAAAGCCAGCATTCGTTTTAAAAACGGTGATCTTCGTAGTTGGCAAATGATTATCATTGTTAGTACCCTCCATGATTTGGCGATGGCTTATTTCTTCGTTAATGAGAGAGAAACAAGAACAGAAAAAAAGCAGACAAACCCATAGACATTGCCTTTGATACCAGCAATCCTGTTCATTTCTGGTTCAAAACCATCAGATCCAACACTGACAACGTAAATTTTGACGTTCTTATTATCACGAAGTTGTCGTGCAGGTTTTAGTGGATCGTCAATCGAAAGACCGTCTGTGAAGAGTATTATAATTTTTGTCGCATCTGACCTAAACAATTCTTGCATGAATTTTCTTGAATGAGTTTTTGTTTCTAATTTTCAAAGTCTTTTTCATTTTAAACATTAGAACTTTCTTATAAATTTCAAAATGTAAAATATCTATTTCAAGTACATTATTTAAGAAAAATAGCTAAGACCTATTAAAAATGAACATAAAAATCCAACAGAAAAAAAAGAAAGAGATAATGAAGTGAAAGGAAACTAAAGTTTTGTTATTTTAAAGTCTTAAATTCAGCAAATTATCAATTAATTGAGAGACAATGAAGATTACGGATGTGTGCCAAAGGTGAACAGTTTTTGCAGATGTATTCTAATTAACTAATTACTCTATATTCGTTCCTTAAATTTTCTTTACGCATTTAAGTAGTTTTTTTTATCATACATGAAGTATTTTTTTTCGCATCAGATAGGATAAAGAGAATAAGGTACAAATAAGGGTCAGATAACCTGGCTCCTTTGTCTTCTCTGAACAATTCAGCTTCAGCTTTACGAAGCGCATAACCAGTTCGAGTTAGGCCAGATTGAAAAGTAATTTTTTTGAGGTGCTCGCTAACTTCACTACCATTCGAGTAAGTTCCCAACGAGAACTCAGTAATTGGTGAACCAGCGTACTGTAATGCAGCAACTCTGACTGCATCTTCACGAACCGGCAACGTGTTGACCACTTCAACGGTCCATTTGATGTGTTCACGATAGATCTGTTCAACGTTTCCAGATGTATCCAAAACAAATACAATGTCCACTTTAGGAAGACATGACTCAAGATCTAGAAAAACTTTTTGCTCTGTAAAGTCTGAATAAAATTAAATTAACTAGTCCTGAGAGTCTCTTACAGATTTCTACGAGGTCGCACAGTAACTTCGGTTACAAAAGTTGTAACTGAGAAATATGAATAACTCTAGTTTTTTTTCAAAGGTTTGCCCGATTGCAGAAAACAAATGAAATTTTACTTGTTGCTTCTTAGTGACTAAAACAGTTTTAAAAGCTAAGAGAAAAGTTCTATTTCATTGTATCACTACAGTTTCAGACATTAGAAAACAGTCTTTACGTACAGAAGTTTTTAAGGGCTTAGAGCACAGCTAATAAAAACACAATACTAATTACCTAAAAAAATTCTAGGCTATTCAGAAAAAGTGAGAAAAAAGTTCGGT